CCCAAGAAAGCTCCTGGCAAATGTTGAGCCAGATACACCAACGCTACAAGGAGGAGGCAACTTAGGAATATGGCAAAGACATTTGCACATAGTACTCCTGTGGGGCACTGAGCTGTGCAGGCCAAGTACCAGCAAGATCACCCTGAGGTGCTCAGAACAACACAGTCTCCATATGAGCAAAACAATCCAGGAACACAAGTAGAGAGGCCATCACTTTTGTGGAAAGTAGCAGGAGTTGACTTAACAGACGACTGCTTCTTAAATGGACAGTTCTATGTGGCCTGCTCCAGAGTGAGCTCACCAAGCAGCCTGGTGATCCTGGCACCTGAGGGCAGAACCAACACTGTGGTCCAGAGAGAGGTCCTTCGGTAGAGAGAAAAAAAAGTACGTATGTCTCACTCCATTTATTACACTACAGTCTTCTCCACTCGAATTCCTACAACAAATGTCACATTTCAAACTTCACATCATCGGTATTATAACTGGATTTAAGGAACTTAAATACCGTAGCGAAGCATGGGTAGCAGGCTAGTATAAGATAAAACACAGAAGGCAAGCAATGGCCAAAAGCGCCTCAACATCTAACCGATGGGGGGGGGGGCATCTTCCAAATGTACCTGTGAGAGAATTCTCTTAACCAGGACTTTTTTGTAGAAAAAGCCCAGCAGGAACCCATTAGCATAATAGGCCACACCCAACAGCAGAAACGTATTAGCGTTTTAGGCCACACCCCTGGCAGTACACCTCATTAGCATATTAGGCCCCACACCCCATGCCTTCCCTTGGCTTGCCCGGGCGTCCGCGGCTGTGGGGAGTCTGGGCAAGCCCCCCCCTTGAAGGGAAGGGAAGGCAGCCATGGGGCGCCTGGGCAAGCTGGCCCTTGGACAGGCCAGGGAAGGCATGGGGAGGCATTTAAATGCCTCCCCAATCCTTCCAGGCCCCCCCCCCCAGCCCACCCACCTCAGAGTCGCCGGGGGGTGTGTGTCACTCTCCAGGCCTTCCCTCTGTAGCCACGCATGCACAGAGGTTTTGGCTATAGTGGGCGTGGCCAACTCTGAAGCCAGCCGGAACTCTGCTCCTGTGCGTTCCTGCCCCAAAATAGCTCTGCTCTTAACCCTTTCCCTCCCAGATCCCCTTGCATGTGGAAGTTGCAATATCCAACCGTTTCTTACGCACAGCTCCAAAGGGTTGGCCATGTTAGT